TGAAAATTTGGTGTTGGGGGCAGCAGCAGTGTTAGTTGCAACTGCTCCCCCCCCCAAAAAAAAATCGCTGGATCCACAGGGAGACCTGAAAGCTCTGTGGGTCAGATCTGGCCTGTAGGCTAGGGGTTGAGCACCCCTGGATTAGAAGAATCATTAAATAGTTGCAGTTTATACTTGACACAAAGCAAACACTGAGGAAAAAAAATCCCCAGCCCCTCCTCCACTCCGGGCTTTCAAACAACCTCCTTACTTTGCCCAACTCAATGTCAGAAACAAACTCCCCATTGCTGAACTGATACCAGAAGGGGCACATTCAGCCTTACCAACAGATTTAAAAAACCCACAAAAAACTGTCAACACATCTCCACTGCTTTAACAGTGAACACCAACCAACTACAAACCCATCAGAATCCATGGATCCTACATGCACCTCTCCCAAAGTATGATATATCCAACCCACAGCAACAAGTGCCCTCAAAATAACTATATATGGGTGAAACTAAACAAACTGCACACCAGAATGAACTGTAAAAAAAATAAAATAAAATAAAATAAAATATATAAAGAACAGAAACACACAAGTGCCAGTAGGAGCACATTGTCTCCACAAAATAATAATAATATAAAATAAAATAAAATAAAAAAAAAATTCACTTCTTTTCTGACCTTACTATCCCCATGCTCAAGGGCAATTTACAAACACTTACAAGGTGAACTCAGAGCAAGATTTCATGACATTTAGAATCAAGGACTGAACCCCAATATTGACTTCATGGCATATTATTAGCTGCCAATTCCTGAAATTCTTCCTTCACACTACAGATAATAACCACCTTCCTCTTCTGAAGAGTCATGATCTCCCATTAATCAAGCTTCTTTATCTGTTGTTTGTCTGCTGCCCTTGGGACTCTCTCTCCTCCAATTTCACAACCCTACACGCCATTTTAGTGTTCCCGCACCTGCTTCTTCCTTCAAACCTGATGAAGAATGCCTTATAATCAAAAACTTTATCGCCATCATGCAGTTGGTCTAATAAAAAGGGTAATCAGCCACAAAAACCCTTGCCTCTTCCAAATACAATGCTGTTACTTGTCTAATTGATGACATAACTTCCACCGGATGTGCTTGTTCAATGCAGATACATGTTCTAGAGCTGTATAATCTAAACTGTTTGCAATGAAAAAAAGCTGGCCTAGGGAAAGGAGGATGGTTTTTGTGGCAGACACACGTAACTGGAATCAGGCAATGTGCGTCCGTTTCCTGGTTTTGTAACAGACTTCCTTTTTCACATTTGGTGAACCTGTTAAAAACAAACAAACAAACAAACCCCTTTGTGCTTCAGTCTACCTACTTGTAAAATAGGAGTAAGACTTCTCTCCCACTCAGAGCTGTTGTGAACACTTAAATGAGGCATTCAGAAGATACAGCCATCTCCAGCCTTATACTGTAAACCTCGGTTTGATACCAGTAAATGACTGGTTTGTCTCTCCCTCATTCAGTGCTCCCAAGGCAGCAGTTTACATCCCACTTGCCTGTCTTGGGCCTGTTTTATGCACCAGACATGATGCATGTGTAGGACTGTAATGAATGGGGCACTTTATGTCCTGGTGTCACATGACAAGATGCAGTAGGAGATTCTGAAAACCCTGGAGGGGATTACAATGGTGTTTAGTAGACAAGCAAGCACGCTTCTACCACTGCATGTCGCTACTCAGAGGAAGGTAGATTTTCTTCCCCAATGACGAATACTCCCAACATCCCCATGTTCTAGAAGAAATCTTCCAGGGGTTCAAACCATGCAAGCTTCCTAAACACTCGCGCCACACCTGCACCCCTTAAACCCACTCCTTCACTCTCAAAGGAGGCTGCTCACTGTAAATCCTACCTGTACCTATGAGGAAGATCCTCCTAGTTGGCAACATCAATTACAGGAACTCTGCCGTGCCCTGCTCTTATCATGCCTGCCAGGGCACGCCTTATGGCCTCGACCGTGAATCACACACACTCGAGCGCATTCATGGACGTCACAGCGATCAGAGACGAGCCATTTTCAGACAGCAGGCAGCACCTCGATCCTCGCGATTTAACGCCGCATCTCCTTCCTGACTTCCATGCAGGACTGCTGATGTCTCGCTGCCGGTTGCATTATTTGCTGGCTTGCAACAGTGTCCACGACGCGGCCGACAAGCTGGCAGTGGAGAAAGGGGGGGCATGGGACAGGCAGGGGCAACAGCAGAGCGGCCCAGCAGAGCGGACAATTACCCAGCCTGTCAACAGGCCTTACTGGCAGGTCTCTCACTACCTGGGGGGCAGGTTTCAGGACAGGATGGAGGCACCAGTGCCCGGGCCGCTAGCCCTTGGCACCCAGGGGGCTGATGGGCTGCCACTGGAGGTTTCCCAAAGTGTGGGGGGGGGGGGCTCCCCCATCCACTAGGGACTCCTGCAGGGATCCCCCATGGGGCACCCCCCATCTGGGGGCGGGGACCCATAAACCCCCCTCCCACCCCCACAAATATTCGGCCCCGGAAGGGCTGTGTGTGTGTGTGTGTGTGTGTGTGTGTG